AAAAAAAAAAAAAAAATCATAGCCTTCTTGTACATGAATAACAAACTCACTGAGAGAGGAATTAAGGAAAAACACCTTTCACAATAGCATCCAAAAAAATGAAATACCAATCTAACAAAGGAAGTAAAAGACCTCAACATTGAAAACTACAGTACTCTGAAAAAAGAGATCAAAGAGGATATCAGAAAATGGAAAGATATTCCTTGTTCTTGGGTAGAAAGAATCAATATATTGAAAATGGCCATACTTCCAAAACTTACACAGTGCCTCACAAGCGCAAGGTCCCCAGTTTGATCCCCGGTACCAAAAAAAAACCCCAAAACTGTTATACAGATTTAATGCAATCCTGATATTTCACAGATTTAAGAGAAAACAATCCTAAAATTCATTTGGAACCAGAAGAAACCTAGAATAGCAACGGTAATTCTAAGCAACAAAGGCAAGGCAGGGGGCATCACAATCCCTGACTTGAAATTACAAGGCTACTATAATAAAAATAGCATGGTACTGGCAAAAAAACAGACTGAAGGATCAATGAAACAGATTAGAAGATGGAGAAACTCCAAACACACTCAGCCACCTTATCTTTCACAAAGAAGCCAAATACCTTCACTGGAAGAAAGACAGCCTCTTTGATAAATGGTGCTGAAAAAACTGGGTTTCAACTTGCCAAATATTAAAATAGACCCTTATCTTTCACCATGCACTAAACTAAAATCAAAATGGATCAAAGATCTAATATCATAACAGAAACACTAAACCTGCTAGAAAATAGAATAGGCAGAACTCCTGAAGACATTGGTGTAGGCAAAGACTATGAAGAAAACCCCGATCACGCAGGAACTATCACAAAGAATCAACAACTTGGATCTCATCTTATTAAAAAGCTTTTGCACAGAAGGAGAAACCACCAACACAGTCAAAAGACAACCCCGTATGGGAAAAAAATTTTGCCAGCTCTTCCTCAGACAGTTATATTCTATATCTATATATATTTTACATTCTATATCAGATATATTCTATATCTAGAATATATAAAGAACTCAAAAATATCAGACCCCTCAAATTCAAAGACCCAACCCAAAAATGCACATCTGAAATGAATACACTTCTCAGATGAAGAAGTAGAAATGGCAAATAAATATATGAAAAAATGTTCAACATCACGGGTCATTTGTGAGATGCAAATTAAAACAACACTGAGATTCCCTCTCACTCCAGAAAGAATGGCTGTTACAAAGAAATCAACCAATAACAAATGCTGATAGGGCTGTGGGGAAAAAGGAACCCTTCTCCACTGTTGGTAGGACTGTAGATTGGTACAACCACTGTGGAAATCAGTGTGGAGATTCCTCAAAAAACTAAAACTAGAGGTTGCATTTGACCCAGCCATTCTTCTTCTTCTTGGTATCTTCTCAAACAAATTAAAAGTATCATACCACAGGGATATATTCGCATCTACGTTTATAGTGGGACAGATTGTAATAGCTAAATCTTGGAAGCAGGCCAAATCCCCATCTACTGACGAATGGATAAACATTTTTTTTTTAATATAATGGAGTACTCCCCAGCCCTAATGAAAGATAAACTTGAGATACTATAGCCAAATGGATGTACTTTGAGACCATACTCTTTAGTGAAATAAATCAGATACACCTGTGTAAATATCGAATTGTTTCTCTGGTGTGAGAAACTGAAAGTGTATATAAGGACCAAAATGTATAACAGATATTGTAAAATAGGGAGAAAATGTTCAAATGGGTAGGGAAAACAGAAGGGAGGCCAGGGGAAAGGAAGGAAGGGAAAGGAAAAAAATTACAAAAGAAGGAAAAAATGAAAACAAAGCTTTGTAATAAGGAGGGGAAGAGGCGTTAAAGGGACGGTAGGGGAATGGGAAAAAATAAGAATCAAAGAGATATACAGGTCGAATTCCCTATGATTTGGGCTTTTTGTTTGTTTGTTTTTTAAGACAGGGTCTTGTTATGTAGTTCAGGCTGGCCTTCAACTCACTATGTAGCCTAACCTGGCCCAGAACTCAATGATCCTCCTGCCTCAGCCTCCTGAGTGCTGCTGGGATTACAGGTGTGCACCACCATGCCTGGCTTTCCCTGTGATGAATGTGCTCATTACATATACCTAAAATGTACCAATAAACTTAATTAAAAAAATAAAAGTAAAATTTAAAAAACTCCATTTACAGGAGGTTCAAGTAAGAATGTTAGGATATATACAGGGTATTTATACATCCTTCAAATTAAAAAATTTATTTGTTTCTCTGAGAAGTAGGTCTAAAGTTTAACTCTTGCCTTGATAAGAAAAAAATTACATTGGTCCTTCCACTCTAAGACAGCCATAATTAGCTCTAATGTAATGATTTGTTTTAATTAGTCTGCCACAGATTATCTGCTGCTAGTTTCAGAATACAATGTGTTACAGATTTTCTTCTCTGCCACCTTTACAATTACAGTTAAATGGCATGTAATTATGTTCTCCATGGAACTTTTTTCTCCTGAGGAGCCACCGACAAAGCTGCTCTTTTCCACAAAGAATGGAAGCCACTTCAGTCACATTATCCTGCCTTTGGAAAATGTCTATTTTCAACCATAATATAGAAGGATGGTCAATAAATAAATTTTATTGCTAAGTTTACTGCAGATGGTAATAAGAGATAAATGTAACCTAGTATCTATTGTCAAATAACTGACTTCAACCAATTTCTCTTCAGCACTTAAAAAAGCCCTGAAAAGCTTACTTTAATTTCAACTTGCTCTTCCATTTCTTTAGTTTTTATTGTAGTGTATTCCTTTTCAAGCCTAAGAAGAAGAAGAAAATTAAAGTTATGTTTTCATTCAGTTACTAATTATAAAAATTTTAAATATAAATTAATATAAAATACATTTTTTAGCTTCCCCAGGTTAAGATATTTAATATGAGAAAAATGAACACTTTCATGAATTTTTACCATAAAAATCACCTTACAAATCACAAAAATAAAAGCCATTCGAAAGTAAAGAAAGTGAATTTATACAACACCAAACAGAACTGAGTTTTTAGACTCTATTGAACCCTAAACTTACAGAAGAACCAGCTATCCATTTTCCTCAAATTGGAACACAACCGTATGGTTGGATGGGCTGTTAACCACAAAAATCTTGGTACTACAACTGACTAAAAATATTTTAGTGGGTTTCCAAAAAAAAAAAATTCTTAGGACAATTCTTCCTTACAGAAGCTTCAACTAAAAAATGTAGAAGAAATGAGGCAAGTATAAAAATCATGAGAATATCACAGTAAGTCCCATAGGCAAGACACAGTAGTGAGTACTAAAATTAGTGGAAGTTTATGAATAGCTTCAGACTGTATTTTCTAAAATATTTAGAAAGTACTGAAGGAAAACCATAACTTTATAGTGCAGAATCCTGGCAGACAGCACTTGAATTAACTGATCAAGATTAAAGTCACAGTACTGCACACTGAATATGCAGCTCTGTGAAGATGTCCTGAGAAGAGGCTATCATCTCTTGAGATCTCTCAATAGCATACATCCTCAAAGTAAAAAAAAAAATCAAACAAAACCAAATTAAAGGATCATCTATGAAATAACTGACTAGCTCTGTTCAGAAGCTTTAAGAAAACAGAAAAAGAGGTCAGAGCCAGGTTGTGGAGGTGCACATCTATAATCCCTGTACAAGTTTGAAGTCAGCCTGGACTGTACAGCAAGTTTAAGGCCAGCCTGGATTATATAAAAAAACCAAGACTCTGTCTCAAAATACGTTTAAAAAAAAAAGAGGTCAGGCTCAGTGACACACACTTGTAATCTCAACTGCTCTTGGGAGGCTAAAGCAGGAAGATCAATTGAGCTCAGGAGTTCAAGATCAGCCAAAGAAGTATAATGAGACTCTATCTCAGAAAACACTGATGGACTGTCATTGCCTAAAGGAGAGTAAAATATGACAAATAAATGCATTTGTCATGTACTATTTATGTACTATAAATGTACTATTTTTCCAGTACTATTGTAAGTCAAGTTATCTTTTAAAAAATTTATAGGCCAAAAATTAATCACATCAAATTATTTTTTATCTTGCTCAAAACCAAATTCAGTGCAAGTATCAACCAGACCAGACTTCAAATAATTTAAAGCTATTCTCAAAGATCAAATTCTCCTTCAAAGGACAAAAACCTATTACCATATGCATCATCACAGTTAGCTCACAGTTATTTCTTAATATAGATTGCTACATCTATCCTGAGGCTTAGAAACTTGCCTGTTTTATTGCTATACTACAATGACTCTTAGTAAGAAATGTTACAAAAGTATAGAAGATTCCAAAAACTGCAAAATATTCTGAACAATGGCTGCACTGCTGAAACAAGCATACACCCTTTGAAAATTACCACTTTGAAGTAGTTATTGCTAGATATTATGTGAAAATGTCATCATTATAACTCACCTACCTAAAACGAAGTACTACGAGTCAACATGTAATCCTTGCTTCTCAATTCAGGAAACCAAATATATTCAATTCAACCTCCTGACAATGCTCTAAAATCCATTACTATTTCATCTCCATTGACAGTACATACTTGAGCACTTAAGGATAAAAGGTACAATATCTCAATCTACTCTCAAATGAATTCCCAAAAATGTGTGTGGATTTTCCTTATAGAAACACAAATATACATACATAATATTTATATATACGAAAAAGGAAAGATAAAAAAAAATGAGACAAATTGCAAGCTACTGAAGAATCTAGGTAGAATATGCAGAAGTTCTTTGTACTAAATTCTGATTTCACTGTCTACTATACTCTTATTTACCCATGGTATTCCAGTGACACTAGCTTTCATGTTGATCCTTGGACATACCATTCACATCCTTGTCTCAGACTTTACATTTACATCTCTTTGTGGGAAACACTTCCCCCTCAGACAGTCACATGGCTACTTCTCTCACCTCCCTTAGCTGTCCATTCAAATGGTACCTTATCAGCCTATATCTGAGTGCCCTATCTAAATGAGCAGCCCATCATTCTGTGTGTTTCATCCTGCTTTGTCTCCTTTGTGGCACTTTCATTGACTAGCATGACACCTATGTTTGTTTTGTATCAGTCTTCTACATTTCTATAAGTTCCATATCAGCAGAGTTTCTGTTGTAGTCATTGCATAAACCTAGCAATCAGACACAAAGGTCTTCAAAATTATACTCAGGTAGAGCCATGGTGACTGAGGTAGGACGATTGCCCTGAGTTCACGGCCAGCATGGACTACATAGTGAGCTGAAGGCTAGCCTGGATTACATAGTGAGACTCTGTCTCAAAAAATAAAATAAACGAAAAAACAAAAAACCACTCAGATATTATCTCCAGAAGACAACCTGAAACCTAGTTTGCCAATCTCCTACCCCACCATGTTCATGGTCTTCATATTTTTCTACTCATATACTTGTTAAAAGAATATTTCCTCATATTCATTTTAAAGGATTCTAAAATTATTTTTACTTCAAGTCTATATAATTGCACAGGATGCAATTCATATGTGCTTTAAAGTTTTCCACTGACTTTAAATGACATTTATGTAATTTATGGACAACCTATATTCTATGACCTAACAGGCAGAGACAATGCTACTGCTATTAAACCAATGAGTAAAATTATTCTGTTATTAAAAGACTGCCTTCATTTTTCAACTCATAAACATGTTAAAATGGTGATCATGTTGTCCCGTGATCACCATTTTACTTTTGAATTCTAATTGTAAGAAAGGTAAGGCAGCCTTCTCAACTATTTGTCAGATGAATGAAATAGGAAGCTGCTCTATTCAGTCTTTCTTGCTTTGCTCTATCAGGAGACACTTCCACAGGATCAAAGCATTCTAAAATTGTTCCTTTGCTTAGTGCCCTAGAGAATTTTTACAATCCATGGCAATGTACCATAATACAATTTGGAATGGATGGCAGGTTTGCCTTCCTTCTATCAAGTAGGAAAAGGACGACCATGAGAGGGTAGATGGAAAGAAGAACTAAGAAAATTTTACCATAGAAATGTAATCAAGCAGATAAACGTTAGGAAAGAATTACCAAGATCTGAACATTTCCTGACCCCAGAAGACTGTATATACCAGTTTAAAAACATGTCTTAGGCATCTCTTTCATGTTATATTAATAACCCATTACACTGGCATCTACCAGATTGTAGTTGTAATAAACTATTTATCTCTCTGTTCTTCAACCCACAGCAGTTTGAACCTTTGTCATGATAGGTACAAACCTTTGTTATATATTCCAAGAGTGGTATTTAATAGAAATGGATGAGACTCATCTTTTAATACTGACAAAGGATTACTATCTGGAATATATATGAACAACTACTAAGAAGTAGTCAATATAGTAAGTAGACACTACAATAGAAAAGAGGGAAAAAACAAGAAAATCATGAGGTTAATAAACATATAAAAGGTATTTGATTCTTACTAACAATCAAGGAAAAGCAGATTAAGTCCAAAATGATATATTTTACATTCAATAAATTAGCCAAAATTAAGAATACTAACCAGATGCTGATGACAAAGTAGAACAATGAGAATTATTAGATTGCTGGGTAAGATAAAAAAATAAGTACCACTTTAGCAAATATTTTAGTTGACCCTAGCTTATTCTGCAATGCAGGAATCCTATTCCTAAATATGTATCACAGAAAAATTCTTCCACAAATATACATAGCATTTTAATAGCAAACAAATTTAGAATGTCTCAAACGGCCATTATGAAAACTGATGCACTTTGTTAAAGTCAATTAAACATACAGCAGTAAAAATTTATGAACTACTCCACACATAACAAAAACCAGCAAATTGTATCACCATGTTAATCAAAGATAAATACAAGTCACAAATCACTGTATACAAAATAATCACAGGTACATAAGACTGTTTCTAAAAAGCAAAAGAGTAAGTGATGAGTCCAAAATTCAGGAGAATACCTCTTGCAGAGAGCACATAGGCTAAGTAATAGGATCATGAGCAGGTGCTTTTTTATGTTTCATACTATATATACACCAAAAGTTTTAAAAAGGAGTAAGTGATCATATATAAACCAAAGCTAACATATCAAGTATGATTAAGAAAAAAAAAATCTATTGGATTTGCACCTGGGAAATAATTACCTCTTAACATCTCAACTACTACCCCACCCTAAACCAAGTTTTCATTATTCTCCTATCTGAATTATTTCAATACTTACTAACTTTTCTCCTTCAATCAATCCTAACCCTACCTTCTCCACTGTCTAGGGCTACAAGATTTCCTCTGTTTCCTCTCCAACCCATGTGTCCTACCTTCTTCCTCCTGGCCCACTCTGTTCCAGCCACCCTGGCCACAGTCTTTTGTCAAAACATACCAAGCACACTTCTGCATCCAGGCCTTTGTACTGTTTGCCTTCTACGTCTGGAAATTTTGAAAGGTTTCCTGGTTTTTTTGTTTTGTTTTTTTCAGTAATGGGAAATTGAACCATGGTCTTGCTAAATCACTAAGTTGCCCAGGCTAAGCTCAAACTCACAATCCTCTTGCCTCAGCCTTCCAGAGTGCTGTAATTACAGGTGTACAAAAGCTACCATGCCCAGCTACAGACTATCTTCCTTCATGGCACCTATCACTACCTGGTGTAATTTTAATTTCTGCCTCATCACATAGAATCTAAGCCTCATGAGAAATTATAAATCTAGTATTTTATTTCTAGCACCTCAAAAAATATCAGCAAGTACTGAGTACTCAAGAAATATTTCTTTCCAGGTGTGGTGGCACATGCCTGTAATCCCAGCACTTGGGAGGCTTCAGCAGGAGGATCGCTGTGAGTTTGCCAGCCTAGGTATATAGTGAGTTCAAGGCCAGCCTATAAACTACATAGCAAGACCTTGTCACAAAATCAATCGAAAAGTTTTTTTTTCTTGAATAAATAAATAAAAAGAAAAGATTTAAAAAGGAGTTTTAGTGAAAGAGTAAGAAGCATTAAGAAATGGTTGAGAATATATGTAGCCTAGTGGCAGAGCCCATTCAATTGGGAGGCCCAGAGGATACTGAGAGAAGGAGGAAGGAAGGGAAAAAAGGTGAGACAGAGAGAGGAAATGATTGCTCTGAACTCACATTTATGTTTTGTGTTAGTTGTTGGTGTTGTTTTGTTTTTCTTTCAGTACTAGAAACTGAACCCGAGCTTTCACGCTGAACTACATCCCAGCCTTTTTTACTTTTAGACAAGGACTCACTATTGCCCAAGCTGGGCTTGAACTTTTCTTGCCTCAGCCTCCCAGAGTGCTGGGATTACAGGTGTGCACCACCACACACAACAGAGAATGTTTGATTAAGTCTTTACATTTTTCTTTCAGTTTATAAAAATCATGAGAAAAATAAAGATCTTGTGGAAATAATTACTACATAAATCCTTAATTTTAGATAGTCTTTATACAACTGACTTGGTCTCTTCAACAAATCAATATATTAAAAAGATTTGCAGCTGGACACAGTGAAATGCACCCATAGTCCCAAGTATTTGCAAGGCTGAGGCAGGAAAATGGCTTGAGTCCCAGTGTTCGATGTCAAAGTGTGGGCAGCACAGAGAGACTAAAAAAAAAAAAAAGCAGCTGATTTAAGTGGACAATGCTGGCCTATGTTAAGAGAAATCTAAGGTTGAGGGTATGGCTCAGAGGTAGAATGCTTGCCTAGCATGCACAAGGCACTGGATTCAATCCCCAGCACTATTTTTAAAAAGGAAGAAGGGAGTAAGAGAGGCAGGAATAGAAGGAGGGGGAAAAAAGGAATCTAAGAGATAGAACAACTGAATGCAATGTAATCAATGCCAAAGACATTTCTGGCACATCTAGGGAAATCTGATCTTAGAACAGGTATTAGACCAGATATTATTGAACTATTGTTAAGTAGTAACAGCCATATGATAAGAGGGGCAAATGCCTTCACTGTGTTGCAATGAGTACTGAAGTATTAGGGAGTACAGCATCATGATTTCTATAATTTACTCTGAAACATTGAAGAAAGAAAACAAAATAAATATGACACGATATTAATAACTGTTAAACCTAGATGATAAGCATATAGATATTTATATTCTATTTTTATGGCATTGTGTCACTTGCCTGTAATCCCAACACTCAGGAGGCTAAGGCAGGGAGATCTTCACAAGTTCAAGGCCAGCCTAGGCTACAAAGTGAGTTCAAGGACAGCCTGGAATATATAGCAAGACCCTGTCTATACATATAAATAATTTTTTTTTTTTTGAATGTGTGAAGTTTCCCAACTGAAGAGAGAAAAGATAAGTGAAACATGATCTGAAGCTAATGAGCACAAACTGTTCTTTCTTCACTGTCAAGCTTAGTGAGAATAGAATGCTATATTAAGGAAGGTTTTGTTTTATTACTTGTAAGTCAAAATTACCTTCTTAAATAAAACAATAGCAAAAGAGGGGTGGAAGATTAAAAAAAAGGAATAATTAATGGAGCAAGGACCTAGAAAAAATAGGAATGAATAATACCTATATTCCAAATTAGCATTATATGGCCAGGTATTTAGCTCAGTGGTTCCGGCGCCTGCCTCACAAGCGCAAGGTCCTGAGTTCGATCCCCAGTACCAATAAATAAATTAATTAATTAATTAGCATTATAAAGGAATAAATACTGTATTCTGAAAAATGAAGAAAAAAATATGACCAAGGCTATCAGGCAGATGACAAGATTTAAATGTGATGGCTGATGAATCATCAGTAAGGTAATTCACTGAGATTCAAGTATTGCAAAAAGGGACTGGGGAGGAATTGTACAGTTTGAAAGAACCATTACCGGGAATGAGTAACTAAATCAAAGCCAATCTAAATATGTGCATGGAGGAGCACTGGAAACAGAGCTTACTATCAGCAACCTCACTACCTGTGCAGCAATGCCTGGCCATATGAACACAGAATACACAAGGACAAAAGAGCCCCACCTATTTAGACTAGAGTTTATTGGCTATCAGAAGGGATCCATAAAACAGAACAGAGACAGTGTAAGGAAGTAAAAAAACTACAGGTTGGAAGTTTAATAAGTAAGCAAGATAAATGAAATTTTAAAAAATGGATTATACAGGTGATAATCTCAAAAGAGAACCAGTTACCAGGAAGGCTAAGGAACCCTCATTCTCAAGTTTCCTTCCTTCTCCCTTCCCTCCCCTCCCCTCCCTTTTCCCTTCCCCTCCTCTTCCTATTCCCTTCACTTCTCTTCCTTTCCCCTCCTTTTCCTCCTCCCTTCTCTCCCCTTCCTCTTCCCTTGCCTTTCCTCCCCTCTCCCTCCCTCCCTTCCCTTTCTCTCCCCAGCACCAAAATAGTAATAGCACAATCATACACATACACACACACACACATACACACAAATACCAGGCTAACTCCAGTCAATATGGAAAGGAAGGGGGTGTTTAAAGGTAACACACACAGTGTACTATGAACCACTATTAAAAGTAGTATGACAGGGCTGGGGATTTAGCTCAGTGGTTGCAGCGCCTGTCTCGCAAGCGCAAGGTCCCAAGTTCGATCCCCGGTACCAAAAAAGAAAAAAAAAAAAAAAAAGTAGTATGACATGAACTCTGTTATACTAAAACCAATAATAATAATACCACCAAAAAAAATTAAGTTCTATAATCTTAAAGAGGAAAAATGAATTTATCACTAGAACGTTTTGTCACTTACACTTAATTTCCTATATGCTTCAACAAACCTCCATAACTAAAAAATGAAACATAAAATACTTACTTTTTCATTTTTTTTGAGTTGTATTTGACTTGGTAAGCTGCTAGAATTAATTTGTCTGGACCACCGTCAAACTGATGAGGAATGACCTTTTGAAAGTGCTAAGATACAACAAAAGAAAAACAACTGAACCACTTAGGGCCACCTGTTATTAACTAATTAACAGTGAAATCTAAAAGCATGTAATAAATCATGAAATGACTTACCTGTAACATCCCTTCCATGTCAAGTTGCATTAATTCTGCCTGATTCATTTGAAGAAGTGCTAATCCTACTCGAAACACTATTTCTAAACCCTGGTGAAACAAATTAAATGAAGCCAAATTCATTTTACTCTTCCATCATCAAAAACAAATCATTCAAAATAACACTAAAGTAAACATCTAGGAATCTAAACTAGGGACTGGCAAACACTTTCTGTAAAGAGTCAGATGGCAAACATTTTAGGCTAGGTACCCATCTGGTCTCGCACAACTATTCAATTCTGCCACCATAGCTCAAAAGCTGACATAGACAAATGGGCAGAGCTGGATTCCATGAAAACTTTATTTATTAAAGAAGTGGCAAGACAGACTTGCCATAATAGATCAGTAAATGAACTGCAGTTTTTCAACTCCAGTCCACAAGTAATTTAGATAAATTACATCCCAAGATGTACTTAACAACACTAGGTTCAGAGAATAGAAAACAAAGGGTCACTGACAATTAAAAAGACAACCTGCAATGTGCTCACAGACTAGAAAAAAATTACACTAATTACTATTTAATGGATAACACATACACTGCAACACTATTAACTTTAAGGCAAATTTTACCTCTCATAACTCTCACTGAATTAGTAAAGAGGTGATAAAGAGGTCTGATTAAGAGGGCTGGCTCTAGACTTTCACTGCCTTTGTTTGAATCCTGCTTAGCATAATCACATACATGTGTGTCCTCAGACAAGCTCCTTAACCTTTCTGTAGGTCTCAGCTTTCTCATCCACATATTACAGAATAGACAGGGACAGTGACAGTATCTACTCATAGGTCTCTAATTAGGTTTAGATGAGATTTTCTATGTAGGCAGTTTAGCAGGGGCTCATGGGATTCTTATTCCTCCCTTCATTGGCCTTCTGTAATTAGCCCAATGACCCCTTTGCTCAGCTTGTGTTCCCAGCCTGCTCATTAGCTTACCTCAGACATAAAGATATCAAATATCCTTGTTGCAATTGGTAGTGGAAATGTTGTAAGAAAGACAGTCAAAAACCAGGATGATGCATACATTGAGGTATGAAAACTCTGAGACTGAAAATGTACAAAGAGCTCAGGAAGATGTTCCTGGAGAGAAGAAAAGAATTAGTTAAGGTCAGATGTGGTGGCACACACCTGTAATCCTAAAAAAAATTAGTTAAAACATAGTAAAACTAGTGTTTTAAATCATATATATATATATATATACACACACACACACATATATGATATATATACACATATGTGTATATATATACGCATATACACATATATATGTATATATATCATATACACATATATATGTATATATATCATATACACATATATATGTATATATATCATATATACATATATATATGGCAGATTAGCCAATACCAAACACAAGATAAGACCAAGCATAGCCAGGCATGGTGCTACATGCCTATAATCCCAGCTACTCAGGAAATCGAGGTGGGAAGATTGCTAGTTGAAGGCCTCCTGGGCAACATAGTAATAGCCCATCTAAAAAAGAGAGGAGAGGGCCGGGGATTTAGCTCAGTGGTTTCATCGCCTGCTACACAAGCACAAGGACCCAAGTTCAATCCCCAGTACCAAAAAAATTAAAAAAATAAAAAAGAGGGGAGGGGAAGATAAGATCAAGTGTAACACCAAAAATCTCAGATATAGAAATTGACATATTCAGGATAGTGGCTATTATCTGGTAAGAGAAGGTAAGGATGTAGACTTGGAATTTTGAGTACAGTATACCTATAATATCTGATTAATATAAAAAACTGACTTATAGCCACATTATATTTAAGCCAGTACCCATCTAACTATAAACACCATTGAGTGGCCATGTGATATAATGTTTATATTTGTTTAATCTTGGTGGGTACACAGTTATCTGATGTTCCTTTTCTGTAAACCAAATTTCTCTCTCTCTCTCTCTCTCTCTCTCTCTCTTTCTTTTTTTGGTACCGGGGATCAAACTCGGGTCCTTGCAGCTTCGCAGCAGGAAGCAAAACCACTGAGCTAAATTCCCCAGGCCCTTTTCTTTCTTTATTTTGAGACAGGATCTTGCTATGCAGTTCAGGCTGGCCTTGAACTCACTATGCAGCCTAGGCTGGCCTCAAACTCAAGGCAATCCTCCTGCCTCAGCCTTCTGAGTACTGGGATTACAGGCATGCACCACCACATCTGGCTATGTAAATGGTATTTCCCAAAAAATTTAAAGAAAAGAAATGCTATGCTGAAATACTTTCAGGTGCTATCTACCCCAATCATCTATTCTTTCCTTCCTATGGATAGGAAAAATATGCAACATACAGGTACTTTGGTAACTCAAAACAAGAAATACAGTAACTGTAAATATACCAAGAATGTTCAAGATTGATTAAAAACAAGCTATTTCAGAAAAAGATTAATGTTTTATTAAAAATGAGAAAATGTCTTACATATTCCATCCTTACCACCACAAAAGATAAAGGATTGCATAATTCCTGTAGGTAAGGCTACCAGGGAAAGGACACTCCAATGAGAATATGTGTACCTTTGTATTATAGGAAAATGTGTTAAAATTGTTTATATTGTATAAAAATAAATTCCAGAAAGGTAATATATTTCTAAGATATTTTCACTTGAGTTTGATTCTACTTCTCTTTTCTCCATCCTCACGTAGTCACGAGACATTTGACTCTTAAACTATAAACATAAAATGATAGAAATATGGGGAAAAATACTACACACTAGCAAAAAACAGATAAAAAAGAAAAGCAAAGGAGAGGGCTGAAAGAGACATTACAGTCAGTCATGAAGTAAATGAACTGATTGACACCAATGTTATAATGTCATAAAGGCCCTATATTCAGGGTTCAGACTAGATTACTAGACAGTAATGGGATATAACAGGATATAAGGAAACTCATGTGTGCAAACAATAAGTTATGGTACATTTGGAAAAAATGCTTAAAGTTTGAATAAGAAAACTGCAGCTAAGTTCCAGATGTATTTTACCTCCAGATAGCACCTCACTTGGAAGTAGGCCCAGTCATGTGTTAACTGACCAGCAAATGATCATATGATTAGAGCATTGATCTTTCTCAACTGCTTTAATGTTTCTAACATTAAATTTACTAAGATGTCACTCAGATCAAGATGACAAAAATATAAAACTGCACTTTTACCTGTATCATGCATTCAAACTGGTACATACAAAGGCCCAATTCTGCCATACTTGGTTTAAAAAGTTCACGAAGTCTATAATCTTGCATTAATTTAACAAATACACAGAAAGCTTCTTCTTCTGGCATCTGCATTAAAAGAAAAAAGTAACTGTTCTGTGATACACAAATAAACCAAATTATATTTAAACCAAGTATCTATATAACCATAAACATTACTTTGAATGGCCACATGATGCAATGTCAAGAGCAACTGACCAAGAGTCAGGAGGTTCAAGGCTCCCATTCTGAGAATGAAAAGTCAGACAAGTCTTACAACCTCAGAGACTAACTTCTTCAACTTGTTTGATTCATCAATTCACCTAACAAATACTTATTTAGAATCAGGTATTTTTCTTTTTCCAGGATATATGTATCAGTGAACAAAAATACCATTATCTCTATTTTTCAAGGAACTTGCAATTTATACAGGGGGAAACAGACAATATGCAGAATAAATCAAGTTTTATATATATATGTTAGATGGCAATAAGTGCTATGGAAAAATAAGTCGAATAAAAGGCAGTGCTGGGGAAACACACTGCTATATTTGTAGGTCAGAGAAGGTCCCTTTATAAGGTAACATGTGAGCAAAATTCTGAAGAAAGTGAGGGAGCATCTGAGAGAAAGACAGTCCTAGAAGACAGAAGAGTATAAAGGCCCTAAGATGGAATCATCCTGGCTCACTCAAGGAACAGCAAATAGGATGACTAGAAGTCATATTACGCCCTTGAAGAAACTAAAATCTATGCAAGAATTCCTTAGTAGATGCCAAACAAAAGAATGAAAAAATAATTAAATCAGATTAAATTTGTACTGCCTAACAAACAAAAAGTAGTAACTGTGTTATGAGTAGAGGTTAAGTTGTGGAGGAGAAGTAACAGGCAACCAAAACATATAGGCTTTAGAGGCCACACTATGGTTTCTGACTTTCACCTTAAGATGAAAAGTCTTGAGGATTCTGAGAGGTGACATGCTATAACATTAACTGTTAAAAGAATTTACAAAATAAGTCTTCAGATTATCTTTAATTGGGATTTAAAAATACCAATTACAATACCCCCAAACGGTCTCTAGGATTCTTACTGAAGCTGTTGCAAATGACAATACATTATTCCTGCCCTCAACACAGCTGTGAACAGAAGTCAGGAGTTACACTTCTTTCTTTCCAACCAATACAGCCACAATTCTGCCTTGGAGACCATCCTTATAAATCCTATGTGGTTTTTTTATAAAATGGAGTACTACTCAGCCATAAAGAATGAGAAACTAGAGACATTTATAGCTAAATGGATGCATACTGAGGACATACTCTTAAGTGAAATAAATAGGACGCACGTGTGTAAATACTGAATAGTTTCTCTAGTGTGTGAAACTGAAAGTGTAAATAAGGATTAAAATGATTACAACAAATTGATAATTTGAAATAGGAAGAAAAGGTCCAAAGGGGTAGAGGGAGCAGGAGGGGAAGGGGAAAGGAAAGAAGAGAAAGGAAAAATTATGAGAAAACGAAAAAATGGAAACAAAGTATATGTAAATAGGGAAGGGAGCACAGGGAATGGGGAAAAAATAAGAACCAAGATACATCATGTACAGGTACAAGCACCCAATGATAAATGTAAATGTACTGAATTCCTAAAATGTACCAATAAAAGAATTTAAGCCAAAATAAATAAATAAATAAATAAATAAATGTTATGAATCCCTCCAGCCCCAATGTTTTATGTCACCCCCTAGCCCAAGATCCCAGACCTCCCAACCCTATATGGTTTTACTATTCTGCCAATCTGATCCCATTTCCAATCTTCTACCTATATACTCAATCTCTTTTCCAAATATTCTCTTCCTGTAGCTAAAATGTGGCCCCTCCCCTTTTAGGTAGTTACTTTTTCACCCATAGCATTGGAAGGAGCCAATGGTTAGCAAGGTATATGTCCCTCCTTGAACCCTAAAGGCACTTCCACACCATTAACCTCCCCTGCTCTCTGAAATACTCTCATTTGCTCTTTTTTTTTCTCCAGCATTCAAAATCTAGGCCACCACCCATGACACCCCCAACCAACTCCTTAACTATTTCCCTGGCCTAGTACATCTTTGATTTCCTTTCTTTCAATGAGCCTGTTGGGCTGTTATTACTAGCTCAGGCTCTAGAACCACAAAGATTGAACTCTCAGTTTTTTCACTCAATAGCTAATGACCTTGGACAAATTACTGAACCCTTTCTTTACCAGACCTACTACCCTTTTTCTCTTCCCAACCTGCTGTGCTCACTTTGTGGCTTAGTGTTGTATTTATTCACTTACTGAAATTTACAATTACTTTTATTTTTCTCTGTCTCTCTCTTCCTTCCTTCCTTCCTTTCCTCTCTGTTACAATTCTAACTGGCAAAACTCCATCCTTAGATAAATTCAACCCTACACCTACATTAAAGCAGTACAAAGTGGCAGGGGAAAAACAAGAACAAAAGAACTTAACCATCCCGGCTGGTTTCACTTTTAATTCAAGACCACCAATTTCAGTGGATCTTTAATACTGTCTAGTATATGTTATTTCCCAAATTCAATCATTCTCACTTTAAACTTTCTTCTCAGTCCTGAGTTTTGTGTTTGTGGGTACATGATACTGGGAAGTGAACTCACATTTTAACTCTACCATTGAGCTATATTCCCAGTCCATTTCACTTTTTATTTTGAGATAGGGTCTCACTAAATTGCCTAGTGTTGCCTAGAACTTGTTGTGATCCTCCTGCCTCAGTCTCCCAAGTAGCTAGGATTATAGGCTTGTACCACCACACCTGACTCAGTCCTGACTTGCTCAAATTCTAACACACCCAAGTCTTTTGTTTGTTTTTGAGACAGGATCTTGCTATGTAGTTCAGGCTGGCCTTGAACTCACTACGTAGCCTAGGCTGCCTTGAACTCATGCAGATTCTGCCTCAGCCTCCTGAGTGCTGGGATTACAGGCATTTGTCACCACGCCCAGCATTCTCCATTCAATTCTAAACTAATGATCTTAGTAAGTTACTATTTCAATTTTAAAAAGACAGAAGCAATCAGAGGAAAATTTCCCCCACTTGTATACCACCATATCTACCACCTCTACTTGCACCTAGATTTTTCCCTAATTGCTGTCTCATTTTTCCAATTGCCCACTTAATAGCTGGGTATGGTGGATTACCACAAGTTTGAGGCTAGTCTGGGATATATAGTGAGATATATAGTGAGTTCAAGATCAGTCTAAACTACATAGCAAGATAATGTCTCAGAAAAACAAAACAAAACAAAAAAACTGAAAGGTTCCACATGCTCACTTAACATGTCCATGTGGATGTCCAATAGACATCTCAAACTTCACACCTCACTTCCTTCTCTGCCATTCTTTGCTGCCCCAAACTTTTCCTCAAAAATCTTACAGAGTCATTACTGATTCCTTTCTCTTTTACTTCACATCCAATATATAACCAAATTCTTTTGGCTCTATATTCAATTTCAGGAATCAATACCTTCTCACTCCAAAGACCTAATCAAAGCCACCAAAGAGGGGGTAGTCTATTGCCTGAACTATTGCAAGTGCTTCCTTGTTGGTCACTCTGCTGCCTCTCTTGTACTTCCCTCCCCAAAGCCCTTCTCTGTACAGCATAATACTGCCAGTGACCCATTCAAAGCATAATTAGAAGAACATTTCATGTCATTGATCAAAATATCCTGGTGGCTTTCTACATCTTCAACAAAACCCAAATTCTTACAAAATCTCCTGTGATGTGATCTCATACTACCAACCTCATCTCCTACCACTACCTTCCTCTTCCCCCGCATCCAGTCACAGTGGGAATGAATCAATTAATCTCCCTTTTATGTCTTTCAAGAATTTCTTATGTACCAAAAAGTTTCATTTCTTCTCCCCTGTCCAAGAATATTAATCGAAGAACAGGGGGAGGGTTTTTTAATGGTGATGTTTTAAAAATAAGGTAGGTGGCTTGACAAAAGGGCAAAGTGATATACATAAATATGAAGAACAACCACTTGCTGTTTTATAGTTACTCTTTCCTATTATAAAGTATAATCATGACAACCAAGGCCTAGAGCAATCCGCTGCTACATATTTTGGCTATAACATAAAGCTGATAAAAAAAATCCATGTCTCTTGTAAAGCTCTAATGGGAATAAAAATACCTAATTTTATAGAAGGGATATAAACATATCTAACACTTTTAATCATTTTTATACAATATATACTAACTTTGTAAATTTATTCAGACTGAGTTACACTGCTAAAGTTGTGGGAGACAATACAGCATGGGATATAAGAGCATAAACTTTAGAAAAAGGGGGGTCTTTTGAATATGGTTCCATCACCCTTTCTACCACATGATCCTGGGCTATTTAGAGATTAATATGAAAAAAAGAGAGATTAATATGGTGGTATTCCTGTCACTGATGATACAAGCCAATCACTGAAATGCCACTGATGAATTTAATGGTGGTGCTGATGCTCCTTGAAATAAATATCACTCCACAACTGCCTGCAGCATCTTGAAGGAATGTCTAATAGGTGCTGAGGGTACCTAAGAGAGCCAGGGCGGGTGTTGTCAGATTCACCAAAGTAGGGAAAAACTATCCTTTATTTGTCCAGTAGAGATGACGCTACAGGTTATTCTCAGGAGGCTGAGGCAGGAGGATCACTGTGAGTTCGAGGTCAGCCTCAATTACATAGTGAGACCCTTTCTCAAAAAACAAAACAAAAAAACAATATACTACAACAACCACTAGTTCTTATAACACAAAGTAAAAATTAGGCACTTTCATTATAAACCAGTGTCTCTGACATCAGATTTATGCTATTCAGAAAAGATGTATGGAGGCTGGAGTCTAGCATGGTACAGCACTGGTAAATCACATGCCCAAGGCCCTGGGTTCAATCCTCAACACCACAACACAGCTGTGTGTGTACATTACACTTACAGAGCTTCAAAACTCAGGAAAACTGAATAGTTGAGAAATTGAAGTATTAAGGAACATGAGTTTCTGAATCCTATCCCTCTTTTATCTACCAAGATGCATTATCTTGGGCAAGTCACTGAACTTTCATTGCATGTCTACTATGTGCCAAACACCATGCTATATATTATTTCATATAAGCCTCACAATGAGTCTGAATATAGATAACACTGAGAGTCAGAGAGAGGTTAAATAATCTAGCCTAAATTCACAGAGATAGTGCAGAACTGAGATCCAAAATCCAGCCTACATGATTCAAATCAAGTTATCCCCAAAGTTCATTTTCAGGACTAAAATTCTGAGACTATAAAAAGCTAAATTTCCCTTCCAGCCCCTCAGTTCTCAAAACATCCCACCCAAACCCATTTCCAAGTAAGTCATGGCCAATGTTATAATATCCCTGAGGCAGTAAAAGCAGCTAAGTACCACTATATTAGATCTTATAGCAAATATACACAACAAATTGTCACTCTATGACATATAAAATTCCTATGTAAATTTCCAAAGACATTATACAACATAAATAGGATTTTCATACTAACACTTTAATCATGTCCTCATTGGCTGGGGAAAAGACTACTTCCCATTAAATGTTAACAAATAAGATTTAAAGGTAGATAGAGGCTTTAGTAGAATATTATGGTACAGTTGTATATACCAAGAAGTTGAGAGGCTAGAGGTATGACTTAGTGTTGTAGTGTGCAAGGCTCTGGGTTCAATCTCCAGCATCACAAAATAAAAAAGTTGAAATTTCACTTAGTGACAAACTACTATGATTTTAAGTCATTTCCACATCTTCCCCTTTCAAAATGCAAACTAAAAAATTACTACTCAAGTTACGTCTGTGGAAAAATACCCAATATCTACTTATTCTTAATAAAAATAAAGATGATTTTAAAAATTCTCTGCTCTAAAATGGGAAGGGAAACAAGGGCAGAGGGAGGGAGAATGGAAGGAAAGAACAAGGAAAAAAGTGAAAATAGAAGGAAAAAATGGAAACAAAGCTTTTGTACATAGGGAGGGGAGGGGGCTTGAGAGGGAAAAAGGGATAAAATAAAATTTATTAAAAAATAAATAAATAAAATTCCCCATTCCAACCTTAATAAAGAACTTAAGACACTTAATACCTGTATTAACTTACCTGCATAAGCAATAAGCCAACTATAAAAGCACTTCCTTGACAGTAACCAACCTCACGATCCACTAAAGAATATGCCTAAAAAGTAAAAAATGGTGTTCAAAATACTTCATTATTATATATTATACCTTCCTTCTCCAAAAATCTAAATTGGTGAGACAAATAGATTAAAAGTCCATTTATTTTTTTAAAAAGCTCTTGCTTACTTATTACATATGTTATCCTATTTTTAAAAGCAAATGTTTTAGGGCCAGGGATGTAGCTCAGTGGTACTGCACCAGCATGGCAAGCGTAAGGTCCTGAGTTCAATTCCCAGTACCAGAAAAAAAAAGCAAAAGCAAATGTTTTATTACATAAAATTTCCTTTTGACAATTTCCCAATTATGAAGTGGCAGCTCCTACACACAATAAAAAAATTTATAATACAGCAAAGCTTTAAAATCAAGTAAAATTTTTATCTGATAAAGATAAAACTAGAGCAAGGTTAAGGCAAAACACTGGCAAAATTGAAATGATTTAACAAGAAATCAGTATTTCACAGAGATAATGAAGAAAAAAAACTATGGAAAAAGAAAAAGTAATATTGAAGGAAAATCAGAATGGCAAACCTTTCAAGTGTTTAAGCATTATTACTAACACTTGGCCATTCCAAGCAGAACAACTTGCTGGCTGTATAAATACAACCATGACAGGAGCCCAGGTGAACCTCACAGAAAGTGAATTTCATTTTCATAGGACCTCTCTATGTTATGTGATTAGTAAGTTATTTTATTCCTGTCAGCTAACGCTGAATAATGTAATAAATTTTCTAATAAGTTCTCCAAACTGGACAATAATGTAGCATCTAAATTAAAGCAAAAAATTAAGCTAAAAAATTAATTTTATTTTCAAAGCAATTGATTATTGTAGTGGGAGTTCACACTTCATCATGGGAGATGTATAATTTCAACCTTTTGAAAATTAATTTCATTTTTTAAAATGGATAAATTGAACTTACCTTCATTACATTAAATAAAACCTCCTGTCCAAGGCTATCTTTTTCTTTAAAAAAATTATGTTCAGGGTAAGTTCTAGCAATGTCCCTTCTGATCAATTTTTCACAAGGTGAGGTCATTTTCAGGAGTTCTGAATACTGATCCTTAATTGGCATACTTTGTGCACTGCATAAAAGTTGCCAAACTATTGCTCTAAAGTGGTGGGGTATCCCTTTACGAACAAGATCCTAAAAAATAAAAATAAAATAAAAATTTTTAAATGAACCATTTATGTCTCATACTTTACAAGTCAAAGATTTACTGGGGGATACTGGAATGAAGTGGAAATTTTTATCAAATTTGTAATTCATAAAGCTAGTTTTATAATAGACTAAGAAAATTTTCTTTCTTACTTTCTTTTTTTAATTAAACTAGGAAGCTTTTTAACCACATCTATGATTTGGTCCTTTTATATATCCTATGCTGGTAAGAACAGTACAAAGCCATGAATAACTTCCTGTCATTTCATTAAGAATGGGCCTCTACAGGTATTAAGGACTTAATTGTCTGTAGAATTGTGAATGCTGACACCAAGCTCATCACATTTTAAAGGGCTGTTGAAGGCAAAAAAGTAAAACACTGATAATTCAAGGATGTAGGAGGTCACAACTGTATTTCTACATCTACAAACCAGAGAATTTAATTTCTAAAATAATTTTCAGCTATACATTTTTACATTTCCAGGACCTCCATAACAACTAATTCCTATAAATCAGAACGTTTATGGGACACAAAAATTGAAAACAGACGATTTCTCATTACACAGCTTGGAAATTACTACAATGTTTGTTTATTCTAATCCTCTATTAACCTATGCCTGATACCCTCGGATAAGAGGAAGAATTTCAAAATAAAGAATATGAATACCTTAACTTGCTTTTCCTTCTTTTTACGCACATCTTCCCATTCATTAACAATTCTTCCCCAAAGAATCCAAGAATCTTCTTCAAGATGGCTGAGATTGCTGGAAGCTGATGAACTTGATACAAGAGAGGAGCCACTGTTTCTTCTTGACCCATTTACAGATCTTAAAGACTTACTATCCGTCTCTAACAATCTAAAACATAATTAAAAATTGCTCAAGATCTCATCTGACACTGATAATAAGGTAGTGATGATACCTGGAGCTTCACTACCATAATTTAGCCATTGTTTTAAGAAATAGCTTTAATAATGTTTTATTTTGACGATTTTTTTTTGATTGGCTCTATTTTTTCTCCTATGTATAGCAGTTTCAAAATTTGAAGTAGCAAATTATGTCAAACATTTTAGTGCTATTACCCCATTATAATTTCATTTCCATTAAAAATTCAAATTAGAGGGCCAGGAATTTAGCTCAGTGGTTCCACTGCTTGCCTAGCAAGTGCAAGGACCTGAGTTTGATCCCTGGTACCAAAAAAATAAAATAAAATTCAAATTAGAAAGCCAGGCACAGTGGCTCCAGACTACAGTCGCAGCTACTCAGGAGGCTGAGGCAAAAGGATCCCATGAACCTAAGAGTTCAAGACCAGCCTGGGCAATACAGTAAGGTCTCTTTAAAAAAATTTTTTTAAAAATTAGATGAAATCTGGTGAAAAGAGTGATTGGATGGGCTTCAGGAAAAAAAGAACATATAGTTGGAGGAGATACAACAAATTCTATGGAATTAGTAATTCTCCTATTATGTTTATAATGTGACCAGAGCTTAATAAGGCAGAGCCAGAGAAATTAACCAAATTCCTTGTTAAAAAAAAAAAAATGCTTCATATACACATAACTTATCTGCCCAAACAAAATGAATACACATACATACTCTAGTTATAATTCTATATTTTCTTGAAAAATAAAAAGGTGGTCTGAAACCAAGCCCATATTCCTGCACAGTAACAACAGAGTACAGCTAAACAGGAGCTTCTTCCTTTAGATGAGGAAGGACTCCAATTTTCTCCATCTTCATAATCCTCCAAAACTCTGGCCAAATAACAGCTGCTATTTATCAGTGTGAGCTTGAAATGTGAAACTAGGATCTCTTCACTCTTGAGATTCCTGTTGACTTTTGAGTCTGAAACCTCATTTTAGGCCTCATCTCTAAAGAAAAATAGGTTAAAATAATTTCAAAGATCTATCCCCCAACTCAACAAAACACTAAATCTTTTATTTCTTTCACATATGTGCAGGCTACAAAGGAAGGTTAGAAAATGTGTCTCTACCACTATAAAGATATAGACTATAAATCATTCAAAAAATAAGGGTCCTGGGGCTTAGGATTTAGCTCACCAGCCCTGTGCCTGCCTCACAAGCACAAGGTCCTGAGTTTGCTCCCTGGTCCCCGCCCCCCCCAAATAAATAAATAAAAATAAGGGTCCTAAAACAGCTACTTGTTTAACATGGCTACTACTCGCTTCCAGTTACTCCTTCAAAAATGTCAGCTCCTTTAAAGTACAAAAAATGTTCTCAATACTAATTTATAAAATACAAAAACTGAGAAAAAAAGTAAGTCAAATCCTATATTGCAGATTACTGAACCATCCTTTCAGAGCCAGATTTATAACTTACATGTTATAAGTTAATTCAGAGCAAAATATATTAACAATTTATTGAACTGAAATAAAATCATAATCCCATATTTTAAAAACCCTCCAAATTCCAGATATGTCATATTGAATAACACCATAATATAAATTGAACAAATAAATTATATCCTTAATTAGGGAAAGTTTAATGTATCTTCATGGTAAAATAGTTTAACAAAATTTCCTCAATATAGCCAGAAACATAAAAAATTATTAAAGAAACAAACATCAACTAATTACTATATTTTTATTTGAGAAAATAACTATGATGTTTTACTTTAGTTTTTTATATATATTACTAAAGCTCATGGTTTTTCTTATGGAAAAATTTGTGTATCTAGGTAAATAATTTTCTATATGATTCTAAAGAATTCTAAATGAGGAAGAGAAATAAACTTTACTGAAATGATATGAACCTAAATTCTTAGGAGCCATTTTTTTTTTTTTTTGGTACCAGGGATCGAACTCGGGACCTTGTGCTTGCAAGGCAGGCACCAGAACCACTGAGCTAAATCCCCGGTCCCCGAACCTAAATTCTTTACATACTTATTTACTGGGTGCTTATGATACGCTAAATAGTTAAAAGGCCACCAACAGACATGCATTTCAAAAAAAATAATGGTATTTACTAAGTCAAGCCTAAGTTTGAAGTATAGCAGATGTACAGACAAAGAGTGTCAGGCGCTCAGATTGCTGAACTGCAACTTTTAGGATAATCAAGAATGTCAAATAAATTCATGGTTGGATTAGAGAAAGTTAAAGCAATTCACAGACAAAGAACACTGAAATCATATACTAAATTATACAAAGCTGTAAGAAATGCTTACAAACGAAATATTACTCCAAATGAAGATATTATATTATTTAATGATATTGTCCCTGCCTTATCTCACATCATATACAAATATTACTCAAAATTGATGATAAGCCTAAATGTAAGAGCTAAAACTGTAAGTCTCCTAAACAAAACATAAGAAATCCTCTTCACAACGTTGGGGTAGGCAGAAATTGATTAATGGGACACAAAGAAACACTAAACAAATGAAAAAAGTGACTAAATAATTGAGCTTTATGAGAACCTTAAATCTTTGCTCTTCAAAAGGTAACATTAAGAAAATGAAAGATAAGCTGGACATGATGGTGGATATTTGTAACCCCAGAAATCAGGAAGCTGAGGCAGAAAGATTGGGAGTTTAAGGTAGGCATGGATTACGTGGCAAGGCCTTGTCTCAAAAAAAAAAAGAAAAAAAAAAGCCACAGACTGAGAAAAAAACATTAATACATTTATCTGAATAAAGACTGATATCCAAAATATATGAAGAACTCTTAAAATCAATAATTAAGAAAGCAAGCACTATACTTTTAAAAAGACCCTAGCTAGCATGCATAAGACCTCAGATTCAATTCCAAGCACAACAATAAACAAATAAATAATGAAAGATGTAAACTGACACTTTTCCAAAAATAAACCATTAAGTCAAATGGTCACTTAAATACCTGAAAAATGTTGAACTTGTTTAAGTGATGCATGTCATCACTTAATGCAAGTTAAAACCACACTAAGATGACAGGGGTGGCAGCACATACCTGTAATCTCATCATTCTCAGAGGCTGAAGCAGGAGGATAACTAGTTTGAGCCCAGCCTGGGTTCAAACAGCAGTAAAAAAGGATTGGAAATGTAGCTCAATGTGAAGGCTCTGGTTTTTATCCCTAGTACTTGAAAATAACAATCAAAACAAAGAAACATACTAAGTACATATTAGTATGGTCACAATTCTAAGGACTGACCATACCAAAAATTGGCCAGTATGGGAGGTATTGTAACTCTCACAAATGACTATCAAAAGTATAAAGTGGTCTGATGACTCTGAAAAAACTCAATGGCAATTCTTTGTAAAGTTAAGATTCACTTCTATATAGCCCAGCACATGAAAAGAAAATATATGCCTAGAAAATACTTCCTAGTTGCAAGTTCATACTTTATTCATAATAGCCAAAACCCTGATACAATCCATGTGTCTAGAAAAATAAATGCTCAAATTGTAGTATATTCACTAAATATAACTCCAGGAGTGCAGCACCTGCCTGGCAAGCACAAGGTCCTGAGTTCAATCCCTGGTACCAGAAAGAAAAAGAAAATGTAACTCCAGGGGCCAGGGATTTACTCAGTGGCACCATGCCTGCCTGGGAAGTGCATGGTCCTGGTTCAATCCCCAGTGCCAAAAAAAAAAAACCCCAAAAGACAAAAAACTCCAAAGTACAAGTGACCAAAAAAAAGGAGGTGAGTCAGGTGTGGTGGCACATGCCTATAATCCCAGCACTCTGGAAGGCTTGTATGCAAAATGGGCCGGGGATGTAGCTCAGTGGTGCCACCTCCTACCTCGCAAGCCCAAGGTCCTGAGTTCAATCCCCGGTACCAAAAATAAAAAAGAATGGAAGGCTTGTGGCAGGAGGATCGTAAGTTTGAGCCCAGCCTGGGCAACCTAGCAACTTAGTGAGACCCTGTCTCAAAATTTGGCACCCATTGTGGGAGCTCAACCCATGAGCAATCATCTGCTCAGTGAGGCTACTCAGAATAAAAAGGAAAAAAGAAAAGAATCCATGACACAGTGCAACTTGAATCAAGGTCAAGCACAAGCACAACATCCCAGAAAAAAAGAGGTAGGTGCTAAAGGTCGTCAGGTAGTAAAGGTAGTCAGTCAGCTGGGACTAAAACATGGGGCAATCACTTTTGGCCCAAGCTGGCCTGCAGTATTGAAATAAATGCTGCAAAAAATAATTAAATATACAAACTCACTTTTGGCCCAAGCTGGCCTGTAGTGTTGAAATAAATGCTGCAAAAAATAGTTAAACATAATTGTCATTTTTCACAAACAAGAACTTTAAATATAGAACATAGGGAGTGTTTCAAAAATAACATCCAGACAGCTCAACAAAGAAGAAAAGTTATCTCCCTTGAGATTTTAACTGAGACCTTGACAACTTGAAGCCTTGTGGACTCTATTTTGCAGCCCGAACAACCGAGCCTGAGAGCCACTCAAGCTTCTGCTCTGCGGCAGTCACTGACAAGAACTGTTTAAGTTTTGGTCTTAGAACAATTGCTTGCCAAATGTGCCCTCTTTCACACTGTGGACTTGCCTCTCTCAGAAAATGTGACATTGTTACAGACAAACTGCAGTGCTCCCCTCTGGAGGAGGTCAAGCTGTCTCCCCCTCTCCTTGAGTTGCTAAGACCACAGGTGCAGAGGAGGTGGGGGCAAAAGCATGAGAACTGCTTAGCCTTAGCACACCCGGGCTGGGTGCCACGGTCAGACTCAGAAAGGGTTGAGCACGGCTTGCACCCAGCTTGGAAAGAAGTAAAATGAGAAAATGAGTAATGGGTTGAAAACAGCTAGGAAAGTTCTGAAGAGCATAAAGCAAAATAGTGAGAAAAAATACTCCTGGCTTTAAGAGCCCCAAGGCCAGCGCTGTGTTATCAGCCTGATGCTGCCTGCAAAGGTCTGGAATCCAAAACCAAGGCAGAGAAAATGCTACTGTGCTCTACCAGACATAGAGATTTTACAAGAGAAATTAAATTACAAATTTTAGCTAATTGATGAATGTATTTGTTTCAATTCGAGTTAATGTTTAATTGGTATGCTTAAAACACATCTTGTGCACTGCAAATTCTTGAATTGTAATTATAGCGTTAACTTCCTCTTTTCTGTACTTTGTTGATGAAAAACTCAAGGTTACTACTGTTCTATTGGCAGCCAGTTAAATTTTAAAATGTAACAATCTGAGAACGGAGGGGGAAAAAAGGGACACTTTAAAATTTTAACAGCTGAAGCTGAGTTTGTTATAGAAGGTTTATAGTGAGACAGAAGAAAAATATTAAGAAGGCTGTAAGTAAAAGAGGTATACTTTTGATATGAAAGGATTTTTGTATGTTTGTCTTGTTAAAAGGACAAAGAGAGATATACAAGACCAGAAGGCCTAGGTACATGGAGAAGGTGTGCAGAAGTGATTTATCAAGGAAATATGTATGTTTGCTTGTTGGTTTCAAGTTTGTTATAAAAGGTTTGCATTTACAGGAATAAAGAGCTTTCATTCTTTCCAGTTCTACAAGAGATCTCTGTTAATTGACTTACAAAAAGTTTTGACTAGTCTTATTTCTAATTATGAACCTAAAAATTCCAAAAGGATATTATAATTCAATTAGGCTAAATATATGTGCGTGCACTCTAGTCATAAATTGTCTTATGTTTGTCTGTCTGTCCAACTGTACAATTATTTTGTTTGAGCTCAACAATATTTCCCCCATTTTTGCCTTTAAAAAAAATTAGAAGGGGGGAGAGATTTAGCTCAGTGGTGGCGCACCTGCCCTGCAAGTGCAAGGCCCTGAGTTCAATCCCCATTACCAAAAAAATTTTTTTAAAGATATTTGCCTGTAATTTAAATTGGCTTATAGATAAAGGTTATTAAAGTTAAAGGAATGCTTCCCCCTACCCCAGGTTGCTAACAGATTAAAAAGACGTATTTCTCTGCTACCATTTCCTTATGGTGTTGAGCATAGGTATCATGATTGTGGATCTATTCATTTTTAACATTGTAAAATCCTGGGTCCAATTTTTAATATTGTAAAATCTTGGGTCAAATAATTCAAAGCCTTAATGCAGATGCACTAAAATAAATAGCAAATGAACTGTTTGCATTAAAAAACAAAAAATTTAAGAAAATTGTACCAAATCTGAATCATGCTTCAAGCTTGTTTGCAGTAATTTTATTTTAGACATACTACTATTTTTGAAGTGAGAAAATATCAGCCATTTAAGAGTATAAATTAGGATGCCGAGAGCCTGTAAATAAATGCAGGCTCAAATTTGTTTCCTAGTTACTTCTTTATATCACTATCTTTTTGTTTGTGTAATCATCAGAACCTCAACACTTGAATACTTAATCTAAAAATTATATTAGTAAAGCTAGTGGCCTTGAAAATATCAATGTGATATCTATATGTAGATAAATATATATAGTGGCCTTTCAGGACTCTCACAGTAACACTTTATTTACAGAGCTAATGTTTGTCCTAAATTTTAAGGACCCTAGAAGAGAGCTTTATACAATTACTGATGTGAATTTCTCTAAAGTGCATATTATTGTGCCCAGTTATACTATTTTATTTATTTGTTTTGTTTTGGTTTTTGGGGGGTTTTTTTGGTACCGGGGATCAAATTCAGGTCCTTGCACTTGCAAGGCAGTCGGCAGAACCACTGAGCTAAATCCCTGGCCCCCAGTTATACTATTTTTAAAAGTGTTACTTTGGGGCTGGGGAATTAGCTCAGTGGTTCCGGTGCCTGCTTTGTAAGTACAAGGTCCCGAGTTCAATCCCAGGTACCAAAAAAAAAAAAAAAGTGTTACTTTGTAAAAAATGTACATAAAGTTTATTGTATAGTTTACACTGTTTTCATCTTGTATGTGCTTACTGCCTAATACTTTCAAAACTTGGGACATTCACTGGTTAAATAAGGTCATAAAAATATAAATATTCTTTCTGTTAATAAAATTAAATATTTTAATGATTTTTATAAAAAAAATAAAGATATTTGCCTATAATTTAAATTGGCTTATAAAGGTTATTAAAGTTAAAGGAATGCTTCCCCCCACACCCCAAATGCTAACAGATTAAAAAGATGTAATACATATTGTTGTCTAAATATAATAACTCCAAAACTTTAACTGGTTACAAATAATGTATTAATTGTTACAATCTGGTTTTTATATGTTATTAAATAAGCTTTGTCAGGGTAATTAAATGGAGACCCTTAGCTTTGGAGAGACTGCTAAACTGGACTCCTCTTGGTGAACAAAGGAGCAGCTGCATGAAAATATTTTCCAGCCTTTGCTCACTAGGGGGACCTCAACAGTTTCCATACTCTTTTTTTTTTTTTTAAGCATAAATGGGTTTTTTGGGGGTTTTCTATTGGTACATTTTAGGTGTACAATATAATGAAATTCATCATTGGAAATTTGTACCTTTACATAATATATCTTGGTTCTTATTTGTGCCCCATTCCCCTGCCCTCCCTTCAACCCTTCCACCCCTCCCTATTTACAAAGACTTTGTTTCCATTTTTTCCTTTTCTCATATTAATTCCATTCCCTTCTTTCCTTTCAACCCCTCCCACTTCCCCTTCCCATTTGGACCTTTTCTTCCTATTTCACATTATCTATTATGCCTTTTGATCCTTATTTACACTTTCAGTTTCTCACACCACAGAAACTTTTCGGTATTTATACATGTCTGTCCTATTCATTTCACTTAAGAGTATCGCCTCAAGGTGCATCCATTTAGCTATAAATGTCTCTAGTTTCTCATTCTTTATGGCTGAGTAGTACTCCATCTTTAAAAAAAATCAGACCTCCCAAATTTTAAAGAACCAATCCAAAAATGGGCATCTGAAATGAACAGACATTTCTCACACAAAGAAGTAGAAATAGCAAATAAATATATGAAAAATGTTCAACATCACTGGTCATTCGAGAGATGCAAATGAAAACAACACTGAGATTCCAGCTCACCCCAGAAAAAATGACTGCTATCATGAAATCAACCAATAACAAATGCTGGCAGGGCTGTGGGGGAAAAAGGAACACTTCACCACTGTTGGTGGGAGTGCAGACTGGTACAACCACTGTGGAAATCAGTATGGAGATACCTCAAAGAATTAGGATTAGAGGTCCCATTTGACCCAGCTATTCCTCTGCTGGGAATCTTCCCAAAAGAATTAAAAGAATCATGCCACAGCAGTTTATGTGCACCCATGTTCATCGCAACATAGTTTGTAATAGCTAAAACCTGGAAATAGCCCAGTTGCCCATCAACTGGAGACTGGATAAAGAAAATGTGGGTTTTTTTTTTTAATATAAAATGGAGTACTACTCACTCATACTCTTACAACATACTGACCTGGTAGTTTTCATAGCCTTATAAGAGACTTACATCAATGAATATTACTTAAATATGTTATTGTAATATGTTTACAATGGTTGTCATCAAAGGGTTAAGTTCTAAATATGTTATTGTGATATGTTTACACTGGTCATCTTCAAAAGATTAAATTTTCTGTGCAAACAACAAGGTTTTACTGAAAAGATGCTTTGGTACCAAACTAAAGAGTATAAGGTTTCATATATTAATTGTGATAATTATTATTAATTTTTTGGTGTACAAAATGTATTAATGCTTTCTGACTGTACAGCTTTTCTAATATATTGTTTATAATAATAACCTTCTTTTGATTCAGGTATTTGCCTTCCTCTTATGCTCCAGCTACTTATGATAACAGGTACTTTTATAGGTTGATGTATTTTAACAGTCTTCTAACTATATTTTATATTTCAAAGTGCTTGATATCCAGATAAAATTATAATAGTTAAGATCACTACTCCCATTGCAATGCTAATGTTACTGATCTTTTCTTCTGGACGTTTAACAACTAAAGTTTAGAGACCAGAATTTGAAAGGTAACTGGACTAAGAAGACAGCCAATATTTTGGCCCTGGGCCTTCAAGGTCTACAAACAACCCAGGACATGAGAAAACGTTTTCTACAAAATTCTACAACTTTAGTAAATCACCCAACCTCCTAAACAGGGAGACTGTTGGACACCAAAAAGATAAAAATCAATACTGTGCCAAAGGAATGTCACTTGTAGGGAAAAATCTCCCATGCTTTCACAGAAAGCAACATGGTCAAGCAAGGCCATGACACATCCTGATGGCTGACACTGACAGGAGCTGAAAAGCTCTATACAAGGTTAAAAGTAATGCCTGTGGAGACTTAACTGACCTTGATAGACAGCAAGAGGTAATTTTAATTAATACAGGTCTCACCTTAACTTGGTCTTGAACACCCAGTAGAAAAGTACAATCCAAAGATATATGAAATCCAGACCACAGTAATAAAGCTGTATATAAGACGAGGCTCCAATTGCTGACCCCTACTGGCAGTTTCTAACTACACTGGTGACTCACCCCTGTTATGGGTCAAGAGAAAAAACAAAGGTAAAATTTATAGACCTCAACAAGAGTTTTAAAATTTTTTAGCTAAAATTGTTTTTTAAAATTATTAAATTTTCAATCTTTTTACAGCTAAAATTAAAAGAAAAATTATAACAAAATATCAGACTTATAGATAACCTCCACTAGCAAAAGGGTCTAAGAGCCAGCAGGTTATAATCACTATTTTAGTCCTTTAAAAAAGAGTTTCTAAACATGGTTCTTTCCCCAACCTGTCTTTTTATTTTAGTACTTATACTTTGATTATAATACTCTAATTTCTTAAAAAAATTGTTTATTCTTGCTTATAGGCCGCCAAACTCCAAGTTATCATACAGATAAAATCAACAACAAATGTGATAGATTTTTTTTATCAAAATCCACCAAATTGACTTTATATAGAGTTTATAATTGCAACATGATTTTTATTTAAGGCATATTAAATCAGCTCCCTGAAGAGAACCCCTAACTGTGGTCTTCCCTACATTGACCCTTCTCAGCTCGAAGCAGTTGGATTGAAACTATGCCCTTTCTCCCCTAACCACAGTTGGAGATGCGCTTTATAAAAAAAAAATTATTATAGACAGCTAAGTCAGACACATTCTAAGCTCTTGTGACATAGGCCCACTGGATAACTCATGGGAACAAGCCATTGTTGGACATACCTTTCCCTAAGGGCACAATTACATAAACAAAAAGGGGGAGGGATACAGCTACCTCCACAAGCTCAATTAGATCTTGTTACTTTATTTATTTATTTTTCTATTTATTTATTTATGGGGGAGGTTACCAGGGATCAAACTCAGGACCTTGCATTTCTGAGGCAGTCAGTAACAGCACTGAGCTAAATTCCCAGCCCTTGTTACTTTCATTTTAAATTTTTAGATCCACTTATGGAAAGTAAATATATACAAAGATAGATCTACAGACATGTCCTAGACACTAGTGTTGTCAGTTTGTCCTAATTAAAAAGTAAATGGCTCAATACAATTAATAGCATAGGGGCCAGGTGTGCTTATTTTTCAACAGAAAATAAAAATATGCTGCGGCCATCATCCCAGAGTGTACGGTCATGGACCAAGACAATGGATTCACTGCAAGCAGCATGATGTGACACCCCTGCTGAAAGCCAAACAAAGGCTGTATCTGAGCAACTCCCCTCGCCTGCTATAGCCTATACCTGGGACCTGCAAAATCACCAGACCTGATGCAGCTGCCATTTTCAAACAGAGAAGGGAGACATGCAGGGGACCATAATATTGATTATGCCCAAAGCAGGCTGTAAAGAGTTAACCCCTCAATTAGGTTGTTTTGAGAAAGGAGTCTGGCTGAAGTCCACTTACCAAGGTCAGAGTAACTCGCACCCAAATTCCATTCCCACAACTAAAACCTTCAGACTAGAAGGACAATGTTCTAATTACAACCATATATTTTGTCTATTCTGTTCCTAATTCAAGAATGCTTTGTCTTGTCCTTTATAAGCCTTGTTTACGTTAATTTTCATAGAAACCACAACTGATTGCCAATAAAAGTCAGTGCGTGGGACTGGCCAGAGCCTTTGCTGGTTGCACTGGGATTGGCTGTCTGGGTAACCCGCTTTCTCTCTCCTAGTTCTGTCTCTTAGGTTATTTTTTTCTCAGCATGACACACTGGGCAGGTTGGGACTAGAGACTTACTGCAAGAGTCTCTGGCAGGACAGAAAGAGGCTCATAGCTTGTCACTTGCTACCTTCTGCCTGCCCTGCTTTGCCATGGACTGCTTATCCTTTCTGATGTCCCTCTCCCATGCCACCTTGCCTTGGACCCAGCCAACTATGGACTGAAACATCTATAAATTGTGAGCTAAATAAACTTTTCCTCCTTTAACTTTGGGTGTTTAGTATTTTGTTTTAGCAATGAGAAAAGTAACTAAGACACTGTCCAACAATGCATTTTTCCCTCCCTCCCTTCCTTTCACTACTGGGGATTGAACCCAAGGGTTTCACACTGAGCTGTATTTCCCTAGCCACTGCTCTACCCCTCCCTGCCTTTCTCTCTTTCTCATTCATTCATTCATTCATTCAGAGACAAGGTCTCATCAAGTTGCTAAATTGCCCAGTCTGGGGTTGAATTTAAGATCTTCCTGACTCTCAGAGTGCTGGGATTACAGGTGTGGGCCACCACATACAGCTCCAACAATGCACTTCTTAGAACCTATCCCATTATTAAGGGATTTATGACTGTACTTAGTCATAGCATGAAGGAAAAGAATGTACATATTTCTTAAGAATATGAAGACTTACCAAGATATATCACGTACAGGTACAAACACCCAATGATAAATATAAACGAACTGTATACCTAAAATGTACCAATAAAAAAAAAAAAAGAATATGAAGACTTGAGCTGGGGACTTAGCTCAGTGGTTTCACTGCTGCGCAAGCACAAGGACCCGAGTTCGATCCCCGGGACGAAGAAAAAAAAAAAAAAAAAAGAATATGAAGACTTGATAAAATATGTACTTTAGAATCTGGTATTCTCATTCCTTATTGCTAAAAGCAGTAATAACTCTGGATCAGGTTGCCATCTCACTTCAATATAATTAAAGTATTCTGACATAATGGTGACTGCCTGAAAGCCAAAAATTTCCAAAGACTTAAGCCTGGCAACTGAGATAATGGTAACATGGTATTACTCATAAGTTTGTGGGCTATTAAAAAGTCTCTTCCCAGATCTCATGGGTTCATTGTCTTGCATGGATTCTTATGGAGGGGGGGATATGTAAAGTACCTGTCTACCATGTTTGAGGCCCTGGGCTTGATTCCCAACAGGAGGAAAAAAGAAATTTGTGCACGGAAGTATGCATGTGGTAAATACCAACGAAAAAGTCTCTCTAAAATACTATGGTTGAATATATAAAAGAGAAGAAAAGGAATGGGTTTTTGTAGTTTGGAATACTTGAAGCACATCCATGTAGATAATAAGCAAAGCAGTTGAATAAACAAGTCTAAAGTTCAGAAAAAAGGCGAAGACCAAAAATAGAAATCCGGCAATTATTTGTAAAGAGTTGACATTAAACTTTTTGAATATCTAGTTCTATGCAGCATAAAGTTTTTCTATGTATACCACAGCAGGATGAAATAGCAACTGGACAACATGAGAATTGGTAACGTGTAAACTGCTAAGGTAATTTATTAGAGCTAAGGAAGAAACATGCTATTAAAAAAAACCACCAGGAAATCTAAATACACTGGCACATAGAAGCTAAGTTGAGATTTAAACCTCTCATAATGTTACATCATAAACAAGACATGAATGTGCTGGGAGAAAGATAACTTGTCAGCTTAACAAAGTGCCAAATAGCAAGGCCCTGAATTTGATTCCTGGTACCAAAAAAAAGTGGCGAGTAAGTAACAAACTTGTATTATTCCATTTGGGGTGTTTTAACAAAATACTTTAGACTAGATAATCTATCAAAAACAGACATTTATTGCTGACAGTTCCAGAAGTCGAAAAGTCCTCAAAACACCAATAGAGTAGATCTAGTTAGAGCCTATTCCTCATAAATGACATCTTTGTGTTTTCCCAGGTCAGAAGGGGCAAAAGAGCAGCGTAAAGTATTTTGGGGGGAGTTGTTTTTGGTTTTTGTTCTGTTTGTTTTTTGAGTCAGATTCTCACTACATAGGTCAGGTTAGCCTCAAACTCCCTATGTAGCCCAGGCTGGCTTCATACCTCAGAGTTCCAAATGCTGGGATTGTAAGAGTGCCCCACCACACTGCACCCTAAAGCATCTTTTATAAAGGCATTAATCCTATTTATAAGAGTGAAGCTTCCCAAAAGCTCCACTTCTTAATATCATTTCAGATTAGATTTCAACTCATGAATGTTGGAAGAGCACAAACATCAGATCCTAGTAAAGCTACATGCCTGACTCAAAAGTGTTCTCTTTCATAAGTATATCGACAAATTTTCTTTTTCCTACTAACAAATTTGTGTCTCAGAGTAATGGAAATAACAAGTTTAGAATTAAGAGGAAACACAATGAATAGCATAGGAAACAACTGAGAACAACACAAAAGAGAGGTGCCTAAATAACAGGAATCTCTGCAGGTCTGAAAAAGATTGCTTATTTTGTTTCTTTAAGATGATGACTCATGGAAGGTTTAAAATTCTGATCAGAAACTGATAATTTGGGAAAAAAAAAAAAAGAAACTGATAGTCTGGAGATTATACAGAAAACTGATTTTTAAAAATTCTCAGAGAAAAGAAAAAGAATGAAGAATTCCAATAAAGATTTAAAGGCTTTCCTATGAATTCTTAGAGACATGAAAATTCTACTCTTGTAAGTTTTTCACTTCCTTGATGTTGCTAGACATCTTATGAGAATAGTCTCAGGAAAACTGAGGCAATGCTGTGCTCATAAAATTATAGATAGATGAATAATAGATTATCTAGATCTATCTAACAAAAATATAATGCAAGTCACTCAGGCAATTCTATATTTCTAGGTAGCCATATTTAAGTTTTTAAAAGTGAAATTAATTTTAATATTTTATCAAATATAGTCAAAATATCATTTCAACATGTACCAATTTTTTTAACTAATGATATTCCATTTTCAAATTAAGTCTTCAAAATCTGGTATATATTTTACTCTTACAGATCAGCCGCATTTTGGGTACCCAACTGCCACATATGGTTATTGGCATGGTAGCTATTGGCTACCATCTGGGTAGTTCAGATCTACAAGGTGATAAGATACAAAGACATTTAAATTAAGGCTTCAAAGATTCCTGCTCACCATTTTTTAAAAGATAAAATATATTTTCTTTAGTTTAAAAGAACTCCTTCCAGGCACGGTGGCACACACCTATAATCCCTGCACTCTGGAGGCTGAGGCAAGAGGATCAAAGTTCAAGGCCAGCCTGGGCTATACAGCCAGACCCTGCCTCAAAAACCTAAATAAACAAACTCTTTCCATTTCTTAATTTTCATCTCAT